GACCAGCTGTCGATTGGCTTTACTGGAAGATTCATGCTGACGCTGTTTCCGAGGCAATCTCCTTCGATCCGGAATCGTAAGCATATAATTCAAGTTACGAAACCACTTGTCCTAACTTCTCAGTCTAGGGCCATTAACGTTTAACCCCCCCACGAAAGGGATGACTGGGGCTGCGTAATCTGGCACATCTGGTTTGGTTGATGAGCTTAATATAACATGTTGAACGAGTGTGAGTGAAGTTAGAACTAAAACCGAGCAGACAAATTAAGTCGCCTTCTTTTGGACGGCGGCTCAGCACACTCTCTCTCGTCCAATCTATCATTCAAGCATAAGTAGATCCTACTCAATTTTCTACCACTGCTCCTCACATTCAACGCCATAAACAGCAAATCTACTAGCTGAGACCATTCTATTTCATGTCCAGTTTCTACCATGTGTTCGGCCACTTCTGACTCGTTGGACTTCCTTTACAAGCATTTTTGTGTTCTGCCAATCTTTGTCGGCATGTCTCCTCAACATAATATCGACAAAATGAGCAATCTTGTAGCAACCGGATCTCGATAATGGGTCATATTTCTTTCTAAAAGATGGCATAACAGAAAAAAGTGTAAGCGTTTCTTTGAACACTTTCTTACTAAAATGCATATTTCTTTTTAGAGTAAGCATGAAGGCAAAATTAGAACATCGCAAAAGGTCTCCGTCTCGCTATCTTTGACTAAATGATCTCCGTCTGAGAATTTATTCTTCAGTAGAGAGACATTATTCTCAATAAGGAAAATAATTATCATTTTGTAGAAACTGGACATGAAATAGAATGGTCTCAAACTAGTAAGGTTGCTGAATATGGTACGTCTGTGGATAAAAGAAAAATAAGAGAGGCTATTGAAATTTATAGCTTAGGAAATAGGTTGAATGTGAGGAACTGTGGTAGAAAGTTGAGTAATAACTACTTATCCTTGATTGATAGATTTAAAAAGAGAGGGTGTTGTTCCGCCGTCAAAAAGAAGGCGACTCAATTTGTCTGTTCGGTAATGGTTTTAACTTCACTCACACTCGTTCAACATGTTAGATTAAGCTCATCAACCAAACCACACGTACCAGATTAAGCAGCTACAGTCTTGCCTTTCCTTGAGGGTTTAAACGTTAATGACCCTAGACTGAGATGTTAAAAGAAGTGGTTTCGTAACTTGACTTTCATGCTTACAAGCTCATATCTCATTACCTCAACCATACTTACCGACGGATTTACAGTCTCAGTGAAGGCTTTCTCTTGCGTCATTAGGCCATGATGATCAGAGCCTGAGATTAGCCTTTTGACAACTCTGATTTAGGAACTGTATTTCGTATTAACGCTAGCACGCACACGCCAAAGTAGCAGGACCAATATGAAAGACAATTAAACGAATCACTCTATATCTATTTAGGTTTTTAATTTTCTTTTGGCTTTATTGAGTCCATATAAGAGGTAAGATAGAGCCGGATAGTCTTCTTGCCCTAGTGTTAACGTGAGACATTTTCAGGAATGAGACCACGCTCTAATGCTATCCATTTGTGATGGATGAAAGCTCAGCCCGTTTTCACCCGAAACGAAGCAGCTCTCGTGGACTGCGTCAATCTGAACGTCTTATAAAAGCCAAACAACTGCAATACAACGGGATTCATCCGTCCTCTTCTGGTAGGATCGACCTATGAGTCTCTTCTTCATGCACTTTCATACTAAATGAAAATCACCCCAACAAGAGTTTTATCTTTCGGTACTAAGGCCGTCATCAAAGATGAGAATTAAAAGCCCATTTTACCCTGAAAATCATGTTGAGGTCATGTAGTCTAAAAGGTATCAGGTTTGCTTCAACTCGTACATCCACAGTTAGAATCCCATTTGAGGTGTTGATGGTGCACGGACGAAGACCAGGCTGTATGAGAGCTGCTTTTGACACGAAAGTCGAAGTGGATTTCAATATAAAATTATATTTCTTATCTATTCATCGTGTGTAGAGTCGATATCCGTCCTTCAAATACTATACTGTAACAATGTATCCGATTTATAATCTATAATGAGCAAATTCAAAAAATGAGAAAATATATCTGTCCTAAACTCAACCTTCAGATATATTGCTTACACTCAAGTGTTCATTTGACTCTACATACCGGAATTAAGATTTCGTACAAGCACAATGTAGGATACGCCGTTTGTAGCTGTTTCGGTACAAGCAACTGGGATCAAAGCTTTCCAGTAGAACTAAAACGCCGATCACTTTGATCAAGAGATTTTCAGTAGATCGTCCCGCTAGTGTTGGAGTAAATTATGCTAGATTATTGTTTCGACTCACCTAAATACAATGCCTTCGATCAAAGTCTCAAGCTAAATAAGCGGATTAAAGTTGTCTGACATAAAAATACAGTATAGGTGAAATCTATTTTAGTGAATTTTCATATCTGGATGCATTTTCCATATTATCTTTCTTGTTTAAGCCTGTGATAAAACTCTCAAGCAGAGGTTTGTTAGAAATATTATATAAATTGGTATCTTAACCATTGATTATCTTTTTCTCTTAATCCTCTGATTAGCTAAATGGATCTACTCTATCCCGGTAGGCTATACATATGTGGATAGGTTTAAAATAGGTTCACTATGGCAAGAGAAGGGATAACACAATCATACGACAGAAAGTTGGTGAAGGGTTGGACTCAACTTGTCCCTTTGACGAGTTGTAGCCCGGTACCAAGAATGGCAAGACCCACTGACAATGCCGGTGAAGCGTTTGGGAATCTACCAAGTCTAAGGGTCTACACTTTAAATTATTATATCTACTATAGCAGAAGACTTCGGACAAGATTCGCTCGTCAAGATCGCCCTGGGCACATGGCCCAGCTGCGAAACGAGATAAAAACCACTTCTATACAGCCTAAGGTAACTGTAATTAAGATAGAGATCCAAATATATTGGCCTTCATACATACAAGCAAAGTAAAATGGGGCGAAGAGTTGAATGAATAAATAATTATACCGTAAAATGCATTAAATATATACGTAGGCACGAGACGTCTTCTCGTTGAACTCAAGAAAATAGTATGAAAAGTGCCAAAACAAAGCCAAAGGCTCACGCAATCCAGATGGATTCGGCACCTGCTGCTCGGCAAGGTGGGCGACTTCAGGTATATGCTCGAACATCCATCGCAGTTTCACGCCAGTAAAGTAGCTATGAATTGGCAGACCTGTTATGGACTGCAAATGTGAAAAAGGAGGGAAATGAAATATAATGATATTACATCAAATGTATAAAGGATAGAAAAATGCATGCAAGAACCATACGAAGCAAGTAATAAAGAATTAAACATGTACGCCAGTGAAAGCCACTTTATTTGGAAAGGCAATAAAGTGGTCTGATAACGTGTTCGCAACTTGATCTTGTTGTCAGGATACCCCTGACAAGAAGTAGGCTTGCAACCGGCCATCTTTCATAAAATTGTGCTTGGTGAATTATAGTAAATTATGGTTTCCTGCTCTGAAGATGTCCGTCACATGACGGACGAAGGCTTGGCAAGGATTCATCTTGTTGTAGGGCGGTGCGACGAGGACGTATTCGCACAATGCAACAGTCACCGCTCCAAAGCAATTCATCTACAGCTTCCGGTGAGGCCAACTTACGAATCCCTTTCACTTGTCTCTTCAAACAAAATGAAACGTGCTCCAACATCAACTTTTCCTTCAATTTAAGTACTTCACACATTATATCCGGAGAACGGTTTTCCTTGCCGGTAAAAGTAAAGTCAATACCTATTTTCAAATAAAGCTCAACACAATAATTCAGAGGAATACCGAAAAAATTAATAAATGGGCTAAAATACGTCGCTTTTTAAGTCATGTACATCGCAAAGCGTAAAAGTAGGGAGGCCATATAACTCATTAGATTATAAAAAACATGTAATGACAGAAATTGAGGTAGGCAGTCAATTAAGGACTACAAATGTATAATTGATATACTTAAGAATAGAGAATGCTAAACCACCAAGAAAC